ATTTGTAAGGTAGGATAAGTTCCTCTTTTATCTCTGTTAATTCCTCTTCTAGTATGTTTTTATTTGTAAAATAGTCAGGTGTAGTCTGAACATCTGTTTGAATGTTTGGAGTAAGATTTCTGGATCTTAGTTCTGTAATAGGTTCTTTCAATATGGCACAAATTTCTGCAGTGGCCTCATGTATCTTTTCCAGTATAAGTTTATAGTTTAATTGTGAATGTGGTTTCTCCATTTTGACAGTATTAGAAAAAATCTCTCTTTTTTTGTGGAGGCTGTATTTGATGAAAATTAGTCTGTATCCACCCCCCACAGTTCCCACAGCTCAGCTTATCTTTTTTCAAAAATAATTTGAAGGTCGGATCTGGTCTAACTTCAAAAAATAACCAGAAATTGCAGTATTAAGTTTTCACCACTAGATGTCCTCAGTAGGTTAAGAAAGAATCTTTTCCAGACACCATTTCCTTATTTCTATCTTTAAAGGTATAGTGTGAAAGAAGAAATAATCTTCCAACACCAGGTGATAATACAGTTCTTAGAAAAAAAGAGAGTTTTCTGTATCCCAAAAAATATAAAAGTAAAATTTAGTCTTGTAAAACGCCTTCCTTCCCAAACACATAAAAGCTGCTTTCTCTAGCCAGGGAAATAATTCCAACAAGGCTCTTACAGGTAAAAAACAAAGTCAAATAGAGAGAGTAGCAAGGAAAAGTCTCACCCAGATTCACCACGGGGGTTCTTACAATTTAGATGTTCGTGACTTGCGGTTTGAAGCAGCAGGATGATCGGCCATTTTACTGGCCGATCTTCTTCTCCGTCGGCCCTGAGATCGCCCAGACAGCTGGAGGAGCCGCCGCTCCTCCACTGCAGAGCTAAAGACTCCTCGACAGAAGTCGCACCCTCCAGGGCGACTTTCGACCTGTATAAGAGTCGACCGGCGGAGGGAAAGCTAGCCGACGAGGAGACGAGTCTCCCCGTACGACTAGGAACGCCGCGAACCGGAACCGGAAGTGGGTGTTGTTACTTTTGAATGATCTTGATCTTTGTATAGCTCTGAATAGAATTTTCCAATATTTCTAACATTTCCTGCTTTGTTCTATCTTCATGTTTTAATGCAAAAACTTTTTGTATTCATAAGCTTGCATTTTGCTCTATTCCTTTGTTTTCTTCACTTGCCTTTTTCAAAAGCTTCATGTTAAACTGACACATTTCTTCTTGGATATGTTTTCTTATGGTCTTGTAAATTTCAACGTACTCCAGTTTATTAGTGAAATTTCTGCTTTCTTCATTAACCATCATTTTTTCATTAAATCAATAGTTTCACCAGAGATTTTTGACTGGACAAAGTGTTTTTCAGGTAGTGCTACAGATATAACAGATTCAATTATGTTTTTGAATATTTGTTCATTTTGGTCCGTAATGTTCATCTCTTCCAAATCTTGCAACAAAGCAATGAGATTTGAAAGATTAATCTCAAAATTGTTATTCTCCTCTAACAGCTTATCACTATTTTTGTTTTTTGTGATATTTTTATCATTTTCGTATGCTCTTTTTGACTCTACCTTCACTTTAGCTCGTAACATTCTATGGTCACTTCCAACATTATAACAACTGATGACAGTACAGTTGCAGAATATGGTTTTATCACTTGACATGATGTAGTCAATTTCACTTGTGTACCCAAATGGACTCTTCCATGTCCATTTTCTGCTAGCCTTTTTCTTGTAAAATGTGTTCATGATATAAAATCTATTAGTTTGTCACGTCTATTATCTCATTCAGTTCCATATGGGCCGGTTGCTTTTTCTCCAATTGTTGTCCTTCCTATTCTTGCATTAAAGTCACCCATTAGTATTTTGTATCAGCATTTTTCTTTGTCTTGAAGGCAGACCACATCATCATAAAACTCTTTGACCTCATCATCATTATAGCTTATTGTTGGCACATAAGCTTGGGTGATTTAAAGCTTGTATTGTTTGTTCAATTAAATGATGCACTGGGCTATTCTGATATATTTTCAAATGTTACACTCTTTCAGCTTTTGGTTGATGAGAAAACCAACTCTGCCATATCATCCATCCAGTACCTCTAATGTAGAGTAAATGAACATTCCTATCAAGTTCAATTAAATTTTCACTTTTGTCGTGTTTTACATAATCCAATGATATCCCAATGCATATTATTGAGTTCAATCAGCAGTTCTTCTAGACGAACATCCATTTTCATTTTTCAAATGTTGACCGTTCCTACCATGTTTCACCGAAAGTAAAACCTACCCTGAAAATAAACCCTAGTTTGATTTTTGGGTTGGCCTAATATAAGCCCTACCCCAAAAATAAAACCTAGTTTTCGGGCAAGGTGCATGCCTAAAAAATCAAATTAGGGTGTGTGGGGGAGTAGAGCTTACCATTGTAGCCAGGCCTCCCATGGATCGACACTTGCCTCGCCAGAAGAAGCAGCTTCATTCTGCAGCTGAGAATGGAGCTTGGCCTGCATTTTGCAGTCAGAGGCCTTTCCGGAAGGTATCTGCAGCCAAGAACCGAGCTATGGATCCATAGCTCGCTTCGCAGTTGCAGATGCCTTCCGGAAAGGCCTTTGACTGTGAAATGCAGTCCGAGCTCCATTCTCAGCTGCAGAATGAAGCTGCATCTTTGGCCACAGAAGAAGTGGGCCAGCTGGGCAGGGCTGTCGTTGCCACTGCTGCAAGGTGAGTGGAAAAGACACACACACACACACACACACACACACACACGAATATAAGACCTGGTGCCTCTTTTGGAGGGAAAAAAAATAAGACCAGGACTTATTTTGGGGGAAACACAGTACGTTCAAAGTTCAAAGGCAGCTTGATTTAACCCAGAGATTCTTGGCACCCTCTGCCTTCAGACAGGTCTTCTTGCTGCCATGGGTAGTTGCCCTAGGTCCTCCAAGGAATGAGGATGTATTGGCATGTGGAAAGAATCTGCCATGCTGGTCCAATGCGGGTTAGCAGATGTGATTGGTGTTAGTCTGGGGTATCCATCATAAAGAAACAAACAGTACATTCAGAAAGTATTCAGACCCCCTTTGCTTTTGTCAATTTTGTTATGCAGCAGCCTGATTCTAGTTGTTGAAATTTATTTTTTTTTCATTAATCTACACTCAGTACCCCATAACGACAAAGTGAAAATAGAATTTTAGAAATGTCTGTAAATTTATTTTAAAAACCCCTGAAATATCATATTGGCATAAGTATTCAGACCCTTCACTCAGTACTTTGTTGAAGCACATTTGGTAGCAATTATAGCGTATATACAGCAAATATATATATATATATATTTGCTGATGCGGTATTTAAACTAAATTTGTATATCAATCATTCCATGATCTCTGTAGATGCCTTACACTTAATAAATACATCTTTGCAAGGAGACAAGACTCTCTGGCCTTGAGGTCTCCTGTTGAAGAGCAAGAGCAAGTTGTCTGATTTGAATGTGGCTACTGTATCTAACCTCGTATGTTATTTAACCATAATTTTTGAGCAGCTTGCTGGTTCTTACAGTTGAGAAAGGATTTTTAGACTTTTTGGAGAAATTAAATCATTCTTCAAACTATTGTACATATTTAGTAGGCCAGTGATCTATGTTTAAGCTACTGTGTGGCCTAAGATTAAAACAATTTGGACTTTCCAGGTGAATTCAATTAGCAAAACACAAGCTAATGCGTACAGCACTTATACTTATTTTAGGATTATTGCAAAGATTTTGTCCAAATCTTCAGTTTGTCACTTCTGGAAAGTGATCTGTACCGACATTGCACAGATCTATTAGAGTTGGGAGATTACTTTATTTAAATGTGTGTGCATATATATATGCAAGCATGTACATGTATGGTGTGTGTGTGTGTGTGTGTGTTCATACACACATACATTTATTTCAATTCTTTCAATTTTATAGCATACCTAATTCTGAAAATAAGAATAGAGAAAATTATATAAAAATTCTGTGTAAATGAATACATATAATCACGAACAATTCATAGCAGGTAGAAAAATAATTTCTGCTTTCTGTTTTTCTTTTTCTTTTGAATTCTAAAGAAATTCAAGATGGCACAGGAAAGGTCTACTGACCAAAGGACAAAGGTCTAAAATTTCACTGGGTATTCTCAAGACTTTGGCCACATTAAAAATAAGAAGGAAGTTATTTGATAGCCACAAATCTTATTTTACCCAGGAACGCAAATGGAATGAAGGCAAAAGGCTTCTCCATTTTGGAATGGGGCAACTCGCCATGGCTAACTCACCATGGGACAACTCACTGCAGGACAATTCTCTAATTCAATTTAATTATTTAAAATAATTAAAAATTATTTTAATTTTTGTCATTCACATTTCATTTTGTCCTTCCTTTGGCATTCTTTCTTTAATGATTTTATTCCACCATTTCTTCGATATTAGTGTAACTCTTGTTCTGTAGCCAGTTTTCCTGTGATGAGTTGGTCATTGCGAGTTGTCCTGCAATGAATTGGCCACAGCAAATTAGCTGGGGCAAGTTGCCTGTGGCGAGTTGGCTGGAGCAATTTGGCCATGGCAAGTTGTCCTAGACCTTCTCCATTTTACCCTCCTATCAAATCTTTTCAGAACTAAGCAGCCTATGAAGTTGAAGATTCACGCATCAGGGTACTAATCAGTAATGGTCTTCTTTGACAGGGCTAGGCTCTCTTAAAACTTCTATGAATCAGTGTCACAAACTAATTCTATTTTAAAATATAAACTTGGATGTCACCAAGTTACATTTTTGTGAAGATCTGAAACTTGGTGGCCAGGTTTCCTGATGTTCAAAATATTCAGCTATATATTATTGAACTTGGCTACTTACTCTAAGGACTCCAACACAGGAGAACATTTTAATAAGTGATTCTATATGTCTAAGGGAAAATGATATAGTGTGTAGTAGTCTTCCCACTATGCAACAACAAAAATGTTGAACTTTTACGTGTGTGTGTGTGTAAATAATTAGGATTATCACCTGCAATTGCTCTATTTCTGCTCTGTTTAATTTGACATCAACAAGGTTAGCTGCAATTCCTTGAAAACACAGGAACACCTGTTTAAAAAGATTAAAGACTTAAATGATTAGAAACAGACATCCTAAAGTTATTTCCAACATAGCAAAAAATCACTTTTGAATGACAAATAGTGAGACATGATGGGGAAATTATCTGTATATTTCTGAAATGATTCTTTAGCCAAATCTATGCCAAATTTGTCAGAATATTTTCTTTCATAGTTTATTCAGAATATATATCTGAATTATGAACCGATATTTAATTGAGCCTCAATATATTTAGCAAAAATAACTTTTGCATATTTTCTACACAAACAATGCATAGAAAAGCTGGACACATGTATTTGTTACTTAAAAACCCTATAAAATATCAAGGAATGTAGTTTTCAACAAATCAGGACAACTTTACAATATTTACAGATCTATTTGTAAAGTACTTATATCAGATGACTTGCTGTATCACTTTATTAAATATAAAATAGGATTCTCTGTGCTGTTAGTTCTGCTACTGTTTGTTGGACTCAGGCTCCTCTTGGATCATTAAGATAGAATGGAATGATAATAGTTTCAGTCAGATGGGAAATGGGCTGAATTATTAATATAAGTAAATAAAGCAGCCAAAACAGGGCCCCACCAATCGTTATTGTCCCTTAATAATTTTGAGGCAATGAATTCTTGCTCAGTTGTTTTCCAGGTTTTAGTTGAGTCTTTGAATTAATAATACTGATGGTCCTTGACTTACTATAATGGATCCTGCCCATTACAGTCACAAGTCATGATGACAGTTAAACAAGGTGCCCACATGATCACCTTGCTTAACTACCAATCCCTACTCTCCCTATTGTGGCTGTTAAGTGACCATAAGGGTTACATAGCAGAGCACAGGGTGGCTCAGCTCATGTGTGACCTGCCCCAGGCCTTCCCCATCCAAGGGAACCCATACTTCACTTCCTGCCCCACTAGGCTCCCACAGACCGCATCCTGCTGGGTCTCAAACTCTCATCCCTACCCATCCCCACAGCTCGGAGGCCAAGAAGCAGAATGGTCACCTTTTTTTTCCAAATTAATTGTAGCTCTTCTCAAAATGGCACCCACTTCCAGGGTGGTGCCATGGAGCCTCTATATAGGAAGACCGTGTGGTAGAATGGCTGCTTCCCAAAGGAGATCTACAAAAAAGGTAAATGGACCGAGCTGTGATTGGATGTGTGGAGGAGGGTGTGGAACCCAGTGGGGCGGGAAAGAGGTCCAAGGCCTATGGCAATCCAGCGGGGTAAAGATATTGGGATGCTGTAGCAGACGTAACTTCAGGCAAAAGTCACCATTCAGTGCTTTTATAACTTTGAATGGTCACTGAATGAATGGTGTAAGTCAAGGATTACCTATAAACAGACAGAAAAATACAAGTGAAAGTTAGGCAGGAAAAGAAAAAAAATCTGAAAAAAGACATAGAAGAAACAATTTAACAGTAGCATACAATAGCGGAACATGAAAAAATAGTAAATTATATAGGATCAAGTTGAAGGCTATATGAATTGGGGACATAGTGTTCCAAATGGCAGATTCCACGACAGAGAAGACACACTTCTTGGGACCCATAAGATAGCACTTAATTGATGGTACCCAAATCAAGCTGACTCTGATACTCTGTGGAATGGGGAAAACAAAACCCATGGGGTAGCCAGTCCCTCATGCCAGAAAAGCCTTATTGGTGACAACCACTAACCTGAATTGTAACTGCAAACAGAAAGAAAAGTGGATAGCTGAAGAGTTAGAAAAACAGCTAAATTTCCCAGGCTATTTATCCCAAGCAGTAGCTATCTTCAAAGATTCTAATTTTGTAGTAGTAATTTTACTAATATTTTTGTGGAAATTCTTTTGTTTTCATCAATTTTATCTATTCTTACCATTTACTGCAAGATAATCCCCATCACAATTGATAAAGATTTGAGGACATTTTTTTATCTTCTTATCAAAGTATGGTATAAAAAGATATAAAACAAAGATCAAGAGACTCCAATTATGCTAGCCTGATTCTGCCAATTGTTACAAATTCAGAGTTACAGTGGTGCTATAAAAGTGCAATAGAATGGGATAGGGATAGGAATAGGGATAGGGTAGAGGAATGGAATGGAATGGAATGGAATGGAATGGAATAGAATGGAATAGAATAGAATAGAATAGAATAGAATAGAATACCATACCATACCATACCATACCATACCATACCATACCATACCATACCATGTTCCCCCAAAAATAAACATATCCTGAAAATAAGCCCTAGCTTGATTTTTACATATGCGCCTAATATAAGCCCTACCCCAAAAATAAGCCCCGTACGAGGGGGGTGAGGCACATGCGTAAAAATCAAGCTAGGGTGGGGATGGGGGGGTGGGAACTGATAAACGAAGTGCTCCATGAGCACCTGTATAAGGGGTTTTTCGTGTACTTGGACAATATTCTAATCTACATCGAAGCCAAAGCAGAGCACATGAAGCTAGTTAGGGCGGCCCTAAAGAAGCTCCGCTCTGCCAAATTATATGCCAAACTGTCAAAATGTGAATTCCACTGAGATAGGATTGACTATTTGGGCTACAGCATTTCATACAAGGGGGTGGACATGGATCCAGAAAAAGTGTGGGCTATCCTGGAGTGGCCCCCTCCCTACACCAGAAAGCAATTACAGAGCATTCTGGGGTTTGCTAAATTTTACAGACAATTTATCCCCTCATTTGCACAGATTGCAGTCCTCATTACAAATCTGCTGAAAATGAAGAGAGAAAATAAGCCGAAGCCCAGCCAGCCATTAAAGTGTACTGTAGAATGCCAAGCCGCATTCGAACAGCTTAAGAGACTTTTTTCCTGTTCTAGAAGAATACCTTCGTTCTTTTATCAATTATCAGCAAGATAATTGGACTGATTAGTTGCCGTTTGCTGAAGTGGCCTATAATAATGCAGTGCACTCCAATACCAGTTTCACTCCTTTCCAAGTGGGTAATGAATAGACTTTCATCCCTATGCCTGAGCTGCCTGCTAGCAAACCTGCCATTCCCTCCCTTAAGGAATGGTTCATCAGTTGCAGAACATTTGGTCGGTTGTTAGGAAAATTCTAGATGAAGCCAGGGCAGCATATAAGGCTCAGGCAGATAAAAAAAACATATGGAACCGAAGCCTTTCCGAGTGGGGGATAGAGTTTACCTTTCCACCAGGTTTTTGCAATCGCTGCAACCATCCAAGAAATTAGGACTGAAGTATAATGGCCCTTTCCCTATTAAGTGCATTATAAACCCTGGCACAGTGGAATTAGAACTCCCTAAGAGCTTACGATAAATCCATCTGGTGTTCCACTGCAGTCTGCTGAAACCTGAGATCACATCTCTGTTAAGGCCTGTCACTGCTCCTCCTTCACCACCCATTATGGTGGAAGGTGAGCAGCATTTTGAGATCAAGAACATTTTAGACTCTCGCAAGCATCACAGTTCTAGTTGCCTGGAAAGATCTTCCTGCCTCGGAAAACAAGTGGGTTTATAAGAAATATGTTAGAGGCCCTAACGTATTTAGGGCTATCCCAATAAACCTGATTGATGTGTTTCATTTTGGTGGCAGAGAGGATGCTTGCTTGGGGAATGTATTTGCCTGTCTCTGCTCTGTCCTCTTTGAAACGTCCTCCCTTTGTGAGAAAGGAATGTGGCTTGAAAACATCTGCCTTATCTCCAGACAACGGAGCCTGGGACTGTTGGGAAATGAAAGCAAGTGAGACCTTGAGATAGGTGCTAAATTACCAGGTTCTCAAAACAACCTAGCATCTATGAATTGGCTGGATTTCAACTGGACGGTTGGACACTAGGGGGAGGAGTCCTGAATGGGCATTATGATGTAACTTTTCGCACACAAATTCTTCAGACTTTGCTTTGCTCTATTGCTATCACTAACTCTCAATAAAAGTTCCTTTTGAAACAATGCCTGTTTAAAGAATTGTGCTTTCTTGGGAGATCTAGTTGAGGCAAACCCTTACAATAACAAAATTGATAAAAGTGAAGGGGTCTGAATACTTTCTGAATGCACTACTCTCTCTCTCTTTCTCTCTCTCTCTCTCTCACACACACACACACACGATGCCGCCTGATTCTACAATTGTTGAAATTCATTTTTTCTCATTAATCTATACTCAGTACCCCATAATGCCAAAATGAAAACAGAATTGTTGAAATGTCTGTAAATTTAAAAAAACTGAAATATCATTGTGTATGTGTGTCTGTACACACACATACACACACACACAAGTTAATATGCCCAAAGATCTGTTTGCTTTGATAACAAACACACTTATCACAAGAATTATTTTTTTTAAATAACAATGAAACAAAGTATGTTTTTTTTTAAAAAAAGTCAACTTTGGAGAAGTATAACATCCTAAATATCTAAAATGAACAACCCAGTTCTAAAAGTTGATATTGAATGTGCAATATTGGTACCCAGCTCTGGAGATTCACAAAAATGCAAAATGACAATATTGTTAAAATAACATTATTCATAATACTTACAGAATCGCCTGTCTTCGCTGATACAAAATGACTGCTAGAATGACTTTCCTGGCAAAATTGAAGATGTTTATCAATTTTTACTGTCCGTAGATGTTCCAAATCAACTAAAAAATCAGTGGGGAGAAAAAAACTTGTATAATGAAACTTACTTAGCATAAGCATCTTTAAAACAGTTTTCCATTTGGTATCATGTATCAATAGTGGGTTCCATTTTCTCCTAAAATTAGTCACAAAGAGTTGTTGTCCTTATCTTCATCATCAAGCATCCATGTCTATTATCAGTTGTGGGAATCTTCAATCTCATACATAATCTGTAATCTACTGACTATACAGCTACTAAGAAAGTAGTATAAGAAAAAACTATTATTTCAATAAATATATTCTATCTGACAATAAACTGGAAAGACTAAGTCACCAAAAACATTTTTTTAATACAGAGAATATTTTTTCTGTGAATTGTCTCATAAAGGATTTGGTTAATTAAAGTTTTAAACTTCAATTTTTGCAATTATACAGGAGTAAATCCCACTGAAAATACATAAATACATACACACATACATACATACATACATACATACATACATACAAACAAACAAACAAACAAACAAACATCATCTGTAGGCAAATGTCCTTTTAACCTTTTGATTCTACATTTTCTCTGTATTTATCTTGGCTGCTTCTAAAATGTGTTAATGATATTGACATATATTTCATATGTTTATTTTCAAACTTTTTTCAAAAGCAATTCATTTTGAGAACTGGTAAGAATTGATGCCAAAATGAAAAAGAGTAGAAGTGTTTCAAATCTTATTTTGATCATCACAGCAATAACACAGATTTTATTTACTCTTGATTCGAGATCCATGCTACAAAATTCTAAACTTCTAGGTAACTCATATATACACATGTACCTAGTACTTAAATATTTAAAATATATTCCAATTAATACAATATTATTAACATATAATTTTAATATACAATGGGTTATTGTTTATTTATAATATTTAATTTGCTCAACACAGTGACTCTGGGTAATGTACACAATAAAAACAACACAATACAATCTAAACAGAATGCAATCTGGAAATTAACATACCAAACACAATAATTACATTCCCACTTCCTAGCCCAGCACTTGTAAATGCCAACCCAGAAAACCCGCAAGACGGCCTGTCAAGACTGATTTGCAGGACCTATATTCCGCTTCACTTGCAGCTTGACAAGAAAAGGAGGAGGTGGGATGGAATGCAAGGGTGGGGGGAATTGCATTTGAGCATTGTTGGTTCCCATGAGACAGTGCTCCAACCGCTCCAACCCATGGACACATTCAGCAGATAGTCTAGCATGGCTCACTGGTTCACGTAATAAAATGAACAGAAGTGATTGCTGACCCTTAGAAAAAGGGGAGGGATTAACTATGCTAGCTGATTTCACTTCATCTGTGTCAATATGGTTTATTCAGTAAAGTTTATACTCTTGGTAAAATAATGTCCCAGGAGTTTGTTTTTCTGGATTCGCCAACTGGACATGTGACACAGCCCTAGAAAGGGTGGAGGTTGTTGAGTTCACCCCATCATCCGATGATGATGCAAGAATTCCGACAGCCTCACTTAGGAGTGCAACAGAGAGCAACGCTGACACAGACAACCTGGCTGGTATTGGCGGCCCGGGAGGGTACACGAGCCTGGCTCCAGGGAATTATAAACGCTTCTTTACGGGAGGGTGTCTTCCCCGTAGCCTTAAAGGAGGCAGTGGTAAGGCCCCTCCTTAAGAAGCCTTCCCTGGACCCAGATGTATTGGCTAACTATCGCCCGGTCTCCCGGTCTCCAACCTTCGCTTTGTGGCGAAGGTTGTTGAGAGTGTGGTTGCGCAGCAATTCCCTCGGCACCTGGAGGAAACAGTCTATCTGGACCCGCTCCAGTCGGGCTTCAGGCCGGGATACAGCACGGAAACGGCATTGGTCACGTTGGTGAATGATCTCTGGAGGGCCCGGGACAGGGGTTATTCCTCTGTCCTA